AGTTGTAAGGGCATGGAATAAGGTTATAGAATAAGTTTATAGAGTAACGGCATAGAATAAGGATATAGAATAGGGTTCTACTTGTGAGGATATAGAATAAGGATATAGTTGTAAGGGCATAGAATAAGGTTACAGTGGTAAGGACATAGAATATGGTTATAGAATAAGTATATAGTATAAGGGTATAGAAGAGGGGTGTAGCATTGAAAAGCTGTAACACTTTATACGTAGGACAGAACCATTTTTAATAAAAAAGCAGAAATGGATTCGCTAATTTGCTACGGAACTTTTTTACAGGCAGAACCTTTTTTTGTGGTTCTGTGTAGTACCCACTGGCAGAACCCCAAAAAAGGTTCTGCAAAACTCCTTTTTTTTTTAGAGAGTGGTATATGAGCATATCTGTACTGTAAGCGTTGACGTACCCTGACGTATACGTTGAGAGCTGAGTTGTATCACAACATTTTATGTGTCGTATGCTGCCACTGTATTTCTCCCGTTTGGTAGCGACAGTTTTACCGTCTTATACTGCCATGTCATATACGGCATACTACACCAACCGAATACATCTAGATCTGTGCCGCAATAGGACTGTCTTTGGACCGATACGCTCGTGCACGATGACGTTCACGGCTGTATATCGCCATGACCGGCCATAATTTGCGCCATCAACAGTCTACATAAACGCCTTATAAAGACGTATAAGTCTACAAAAAAAGATTGAATAAAAGCTTTTTGTGTTCAGCAGAGGAACTTTATCTAGAAAATACCTCGAATATGCAAAAGCCACTCTCAAAAGAGTCAAAAAAGATCTTTTTCTTCTTGGCCGATAATTTCGGCAATGGAAATAGCTATAAAAAATAAGATATGCGCTCTAAAAAGATGAAAAAAGAGGTTTGTTTTTCAGAGGGTATGCAATTCGTCCGTTGTCTTGATTACTGAATTCTAATCGAAACAATGTTTCTTGTTTCAATATGTTATTCAAGGTCGTAGATGGTTAAGTTGTTTTGTTTCAAATAGTCCAAGAAATTTCAAAAAAAAGATCATATTGTGAAATGAACTTATGATATATAAATTTTCCTGCCTGTCACTCATCTGTATAAGTGTGGAAAGCATCTGTAGGTGTAGTTACAAACAGTTTAATCAACTATAAAGAGATTCAGTGCATAATTACGCTTATCGGATATCGATTACCTATATTGGCTCTTTTCGTCGATCTTTGTTCAATCTATCTGTACCCCTGTTGCCACTCGAATGAACTATTGTGCAGCGCGTGCACTACTATATATTAGTTGGAGCCCGTCCGGACTAAGGCTTGATGACTCAGAGTCTTTTTGACGCTCTCAATAAGATAGTTATTTTTGGTATTCGTGCATTTCAAAAATTAATTGAGATCTTTTGAGATTTCACTAATACTTTTCGGAATCCTAGAAATTATGTTCATATTCAATTAATGCGCTTTGAAATGAATAAAATGTGGCCTGTAATATGCGGTATGAAAGTTCCGTGGACTGAAAGAATAGGGTCTATAAACAGAAACTCACTTGCTTCTGTCCCTGTGGCACGTGGTACAAATGATCATGGCAATAGTACGAATGACCATCGTCATGATACAAACGACCACAGTCATAGTACTAATGACCATTCTCTTTAAGAATGAATAGTCCTCATATTGAGATTACTAATTTTTCCATATAACTATTAAAAAAATATTTTGTGCGTTACAATTAATTTTTATTGGAAGTCGGAAATCATTAGTTTAACCTTAACATCTAGAAAATAATCTTTAAACCAACAACAATAATTGTACAGGCAAAATTTCTTACAAACCATCTGCTAAAACATGATCGTCATCACATTTATAACATAATATATAGATCTCAAGTGTATTTACTTCGTTCTAGAATTTTTCTTTCGTCGAGAAAAATATAAATTCTATGTCAGAAAAGACTCCAAGATTGCTCGGGTTGAAGTCTTGAAGCTCATCTAGAGAACTGACTTCTATAGGGTGTTTTAAAAGTCCCTGAGAAAAGTAAATTCTTCGTACTCCTTTATTTGTCAAAACGAATCAACGAAATTTATTTCATATGATAGGCATCACCATGAGGTTTTAATCAATACGGATGAACTTAGCAAATAACATTGAAAGATATCACTTTTGCCTGAAATACCAAAAATACACTTTTTCGAATTTCACTGAAAAAAATGAATGTTTTTGATTTTTTGATTGTTTCGATTTTTTCAATATTCTGAGTTTCGAAAGTTTTCAGTGTCGTTTTATAGTTATTCTTTTTAGATATCCTCATGAGACGAGGTAACGTATTAAGACTCGCTAATATACCACGAAAATAACTTAATAGAACCGCACTGGAAAATTTTAAATTAAGAATATCGCAAAACATCGAAACGATCAAAAAATCAAAAGCATTCATTTTTTTCAGTGAAATTCGAAAAAGTGAATTTTTGGTGTTTCAGGCAAAAGTGATATCTTTCAACGTTATTTGCTAAGTTCATCCGTATCAATAATGCTTGAGCCGTCAAAATCAAGTCAAATATTATATTCTACAGGTTTTAACAGAATGTTTTGTATGCTTCGACAGATTAACTCAAGAGAAACCGCGCAGACTTATATGAATCTTACATATATTGCACGAGATAGCATGCTCAACTTTTAAAATCTTTAATTGATAGACTGTTAAATAATGTTTCGAGATTTAGCGTGACATACTGAAGTTGAGAATAATTCTTCTAAGCTGCCTGAATAAATGAAACAGTTAACCAGCTAAATCAATTTTAAGCTCAACTCAATTTCTTCAAAATTTGGCACATGGAATTTTTCTTAGTCTTTCTAGTTTCCTTCAAGCTTTATACTGAAAATAAATTCAAAAGGGATTTAAACATTCATACTCCTATAGAAGTTGCCTGAATATATCGAATCAAGTAAAAATATCTAGAGAACAATGCGTCACTTGAGATGTGACTAGCATACTTTGTTTTTTCCAAAAAATATAACGCAAAAATTTTCACTCTAGATTGGTAAAATGACCAGAAAATGGTACTAAATTTATATATGTCGCACTGGGAGTTTTCATATGATCGTTTTAGTTTTCCTCTACAAAATCGCATAATCTAATCAATAACTTCATATGAGTTTGTTGAAGATATCATCAATTTACTGCGAGGAGTCAAGACTTTTGGAACGACCTTATATTATGATTTAGGTGGTTCCATTTGGTTTTATATTTTCATTGGGTAGGAAGTTGCTGAATGAAGATTTTGTACACTGACCATTACCTATTTTACTCATGTAACGAGGCCTCTTCAACGTCAAAAGTAAAACAACTGGATAGTTCTCCAAAAGTTGTATTAAATATGCGAGAAGAGACGGCTTTCAAATGATGATCATCCTTATATGTTGACCGAAATATTGTGATTCACTATCTACCAACGAAAAAATGAACTATACACCTATTTTTAAAAAATATTTTCATTAATTGTCAATCACGAAAACTGTAAGTTTTCCAGAAAATTTTTTCGTCTATAGGATTTTGTAGAGCTCGTTTCGCTGATCATTTTCGTAAAATAAAAATATTCAACTTTACTCAATAAATAAGAGAGCTCGAATCGAAATACTCAAAACTTTTCACTGTTCGTGATCGCTGCTGAGTAGTAGTTGGTATTTTTGAGTATTTTGACCCAAGCTCCCGTATTTACTGAGCAAAGTTGAATATTTTTATTTTACCAAAATGATCATCGAAACCAGCTCCACAAAATCCGATAGACGAAAAAAATTTTCTGAAAAACTTATAGTTTTTGTGATTGACTATTAATGAAAATATCTATCAAAAATAGGTGTATAGTTAATTTTTTCGTTGGTAGTATAAGTAGTATGCTTTTGCAAAAGATAAAATTCGATGCATACTATTGAAAATGTGGAATGAAAATGAAAAAATTATTCTAATGAATGCTTATTGAGTTTACCGTGAGCGAATTTTCATTTGTTTTTTATGTTTCAGATCAACACTAAACAACTTATATCATTTTCTTAACATTTATTGGATACTATTATCTAATAAAAATACAAGGTCAATTCCACTACAAAAATTACTTTAATTGCTATCAGTATGGCCCACATCAATACTCGCCTTCTCGATGCTGCTGAAGAACGTTTAAATGCACTTGCACCTTTGCGTGGTTATGCAGCGGAGCAACTGGTTTCATTACAAGAAGCTGTTGTGAAATTGCGCAAACTGATCGATGATGTCGATTCACGCGTGTGGACGGCTACCAATCGATCTGAAAATCCAACTGATACACTCAGTCAGGAAGAATCAGCCGCCATTGTTTTATATACAATGGAGTGGGATCCCCATCACCCAAGTCTCTACTTGGTGTTAAATCAAACACTTCGCCTTGAAGATCGAAGGAAACTTACTCCTTGGTTTCCTTATTTAAAATTATTTTTCACTGGCTTATTCAAATTACCGCCAATGCGTTGTACCGTCTGGCGAGGTGTACGCGGTGATTTGCGCTCACAATACAAACAGGACAAAAAAGTTACATGGTGGGCATTTAGTTCCTGCACGACGGCAATTAACGTTCTACAAAGGGAACAATATTTGGGCATGTCAGGTCCACGTACTTTATTTGCAATCGATTGCTTAAATGGAAAAAACATTAAACAACATTCTTATTTTGCACAAGAGGAAGAAGTATTACTTCTTCCATGTACTCATTTGCAAGTGATAAGCCATTTGAGCAGTATGGACGACTTGCATATTATTCACCTGCGTGAAATACCACCACCATTCGTGCTTTTGGAACCTCCAAGTTCTATGTCAACAGGTAAGAAAAGTCTGACATGTATTTAGCTTGTCTAATAGCATGATTACCACAACAAATTCAAGGAAACTATGAATTTTGAAGTATTTGCTATTAGACTTAATTCATAGTACCAAAAATGAGTGTGCACTCTATGATAAAACTCAAAATCAATTCGTGCGTCTAAGTATTAATGCTTTTTTTTTATAAAGTAGTCGAATGAAAACTTGTTGAAAAAGAGTTTTATAATCAATCTAGCTACTCAACTACTACTATCGCCGTCAAAATATAATATACTTTGATGTTTTATAATTATCTCAAGAACGAAAGCAGTCACATGTATTTGCTTTTCACCAAACGAAAGTGAAATGTTGGAGAAATGCAATTCTTTTAGATTAACTCGAAACCGAGCTGCTCAAGCTAGTTTGCTTTTCGTGTACATTTTGACCAGCAGTTTTCCAAAAGATTCTCTGTTAAATATGATTTCTAACTCAATTAATCGATAGACAAGTAAGCTTTCTATCGATTCGTGCAAGATCCATCCTTCGTACTTATTCTGTTCAAGATTTATAAGCACTTTAGTGAAAGCCTTAAAATCGACAAACTGACTACTGATTAGTCCCAATTGTATTCCGTGCGAGTTAGTCAACTAAGCTGAATCTATTGAAGATGTTTGCTTTTGATTTCAGCATAATTCGGATTGGCTAGGACACATTTCTTGAAATTCATGGTATTAATGACTTCTAATAGTATTCAGGCTGTTAAAGTATTTTCTAAATCTTATCGTTCGAGGGTTAAATCACTTGAAATAAAAACACATATCACCAATAGATTCAACTTAATTGACAGCTTCGACCGATAGAAAAATGACTTGGCTATTGATTGATTGAATTAGAAATCATATTTAGAAGAGATTTGTTTTTTTCGATATACACCAAAATGGTGACCAGCTGCAATAACTGGGTTTCAGATTAATCTAAACAAATTTTATTTCTGCAACATTTCTTTTTCGATTGATGAAAACCACAGAATTGCAGATGCTTTCGCTCTCCAAAAATTCACATACATATATCAAAACACATTCTATTTTCATGTTGACGTAAGTTGAATTTCTATCATCGAAGCATAACATAGATTTTTATCAAAATGAAGCTATCGCCATGACTGATAATATCATTAAGATTTGTTTTCAGAATTGTTGAAAGAAGCAATATTCAACTAGAGCCAGTATTCTTCTTAGGAGTTAATGTTCTGTTGTTTTTTCTTTTTCTTTAGCTTGGTCAAACGAAGACAGTCTTCTCTTAAGGAAATGCCTGGTTTTTATAATAACCCAAAATAGTCTTGTCTATTGAACAACTATAAAAAAATACGAATTTTCTTATTTTGATTGCGTGAGTGTGTGTTGTTAATCATTCCCAGTAAGAAATTCAACTTTCGTGCATTTCAATCATAACTGCGAAAACATGACAGTTACATTAAATCTTAGCAGTTTTTTCTGCATATACTGAAAATAATCTGTTTCGAGGTATCTTTCTGATCATGTGTATGTTAAAGGTAAATTGCTCGAAATGCATGTATGAGTAAGCAAATGCAGTTGAGTTCAAAATTAATCAATACAATAGTCGTACTTTGAGTAATTATGTCGTTATCATTTTATAGAGAAGTATATTGATTAATGAAAATAACTAGTTAAATGAATGATTAGCCAGATATACTTCTAAATTACAACTAGAAAATATTTTAGAAAAACAGTTGAAGTATATGAAAAGAAAAAGTAGGTGAAGATATCTGTCAAAGTATATCATTATTGAATTTAGATAGACTTACGCATATTTCCAATACTCAATAAATATAGGTACTCTCATCGTCTTTTTCATTGCGGCAGTCCTCTTCAACAATGAACACATTTACAGATATCGTTGGAATATTATTCTTCAGTTGTAAAATCTATCTCTCAAAAGCAGTTTTGAAAAATAAATATCGTGCTTGACGCCTTTCCCTGTTTAAGAAAGAATTGATTAGCTTTTTTCCTTCAGTTTTTATCTCAATCTGATCTACATTAATAATTATTTATATCTTCATTTCAGTTCTTTTGATCATTGTTCTGAGTATACTGTTCTCAGAATCTGCAATAGAGTGATGTATTAGTTTTATATGAATTAAGAGAAACAAATCAAAGGCAAGCTTTGTAAATCATATGAGCTGGAAATGTTTATTTTGTGGTGTAAGTATGCATCGACTTCATCAAAAGATAGTAACTCGAGACAACTTATCATGAAAACTTAGTGTTTCCACTATCGACAAGTGAATAACATATCTTCACCTAGTTTCTTTTTATGCGACTTTTTCCAGTCGATGAGTTATCATATTGATGAATCACATGCTCATGTGAAGGAAAATGTGACTTACGCGAGGAAAAAATCAGCCTGCAAGTTGGAGAGTTTAGATCATGAAGAACATGATTATCAAAATTCTGTTTCATAATATACGTATATAGCAAAGGAAAAAAATTGTTAATCTATATTTTTCCAGCTCTGCAGTTACATCGAATTATCTCTACACTTTAAGATTTTTAACATTCACGAGAAAAATCAGTCTAGCTTTTTCGAACTCACACAATAAAATACTCATCATTTCGCAAATTTTAAGCTCTCTATCCTGATTTTTTTTTTAGGTTCTACAGTTGACGAACTTAGTTACGATCAATTGAAATCAAAATTGGAGCAACTCACTAATGAAAACAAAGGCCTCAAAATACAATGCGACCAACAGCAAGTTCAGATAAAAAAACAAAAGATTAAAATCGACGAACAACAGTTGAAAATCAACGAACTTCAGAATGAAAATGAAATTTTGCATAAAAACTATGCTAGCTACGAAGAACAAATTCAGCGTCTCGAAAAGGATAATCGCCGTCTGAAACAAGAGGTTCAGCAGTGTAATCAAGAACTTGAACGTCAGAACGAAGAAAATCAAGGTTTCAAACACGATAATCGTCATTTGAAACAAGAAGCCCAACAGCATGATAAACAGATAGAGCATCCGAATGAAAAAATCAAACGCCTCAATCCAGACATTCAACGTCTGCAACGTCCTTCGACTTCATCAACCAATTTAACAAGTATTCCTTCAGTTGTATCAAGTAAACAAGAAAGTTATTCATTGGCATCACCGATTGAACGTTCCAATGCTTCAATAATGACATCTAGAAACACGATGGGTGAGTGAAAAGCTGCACTAAAAAATTTTAAAAACACTGGTCATCTCTTAGTCACTGCTTCCCTCTAAGAAATGAAGGTTAAATCACCTAAGTTCATCGGTATGCAACAGAGATCGAAACGAAATCAAACTTTTTCGATTAGGGTTCGGTTCGACTAAGCTTTAGAAGAATTAGTTCGAGTTTATTTCAGCTGGGTTCGGTTCAAGCTAATAAAAACAATTATATCAAGCTGTATCGTAGCATTTTAACCGTTGAAATTCACCTATTTAGATTATTTCTCAATGAGTAACTCGTTTGGGAAAGACACAAGAGTGAACGTTGAAGTATATAAAATGAATATTTAAAACTCAAAACTGAAAAAGACCTCATCTGAACCTTGATCGTTTGATTAGGGTTTGATTTGATTCTACTCATCTTTTGAAACATCAGTTTGGATTCGGCTCGTTTCAATTCGAACCGAACCGAACGGAGCTGAAACGATTCGGTTTGGTTTGTTTTTGATCTCCGGTATGCAACTATTATATAAACGGGTTTATATTTTTACCCAGATACCCATTATAGGAGTCATTTCTATAGCTGCAGTTTCCAGCATTAAATTGCGGCTTGATTCAAATTAAGTGTGCT